CAATTTGAGGAAGCCTGGTTTCATGACTTTCACTGATGAAATACCCTACTGGCATGCTTCAAATCAATTAGGAAAGAAAGCAGAGTTTTTTTTAAAAGAAATACACTTAAAACCCAAACTAATGATAGATACATAATGCATGTTAGACACATTATGCTAGAGGATATTTCTTGACTAAAGTGAGCATTTTTACAAAAAGACGAAACCAGATAAACAAAGAACAGTCGATGCATGAATATCAAATGCAGCAAATGGGATCATGACATAGAATCCATCTGGGTATCTACCTTGTTCAAGAATGTTCACGAAATAGCAATCGATAGCTCTCTGACAAAAACTCACAACTGAAATAGATGGAGCAGCCACTCAAGAAGACTGAAGTCCAAGCCTTTGGAAATGCTTGGGGTTATTTATTTATTGGACTGTAGTGCACAAACATCCATAGAATGGCATCTTCTGCAAGCATTTCAGACCCCCCCCATTTCTTCCCTACTTTCAGTTGGGGGTGTTTTCCTCCCTTTTTTCTACACTGAGTGTCTTCCCATCCCCAGCCCAGATTCTCTCTCTCTCTCATATTCTCATACACACACACACACACACACACACACACATACACACTTCCTCCAGGATTTACTTTCCTTCAGATGTTTAGACAAGATAATGATGCCCTTCGGGTGTTGGTTGATGAATCCAAATTGCCATATGTAACCCAATCATCATTACAGTGACAACAGACAACTACAGCCAGGGTGTTGGAGCTGCCACCATCCTGGAGTTGGATCTGGGCCCAAACAGTTGCACAAGGACGATGCTCACTTGGTGAGCCGAAGTGGGGAGGCTGCTTGCTCTCACAGGGTTCTTGTAAGGCAGGCGGGGAGGTCCAGAATGCATTCTGGGACAACATGCATTCCAGTGAGCTAGCTGGGGGCTGGATGGTTTCCCTGAACATCTTCCTCTGTTGGAAAGGAGAAAGGGACTCGCTCTCTACAGTACGTGTCACTCCCATGGAGCAGTGCATGCGGAGAAGCATGCTCACCTGTGCAGACACTGGCCAGTTCTCCTTCCACCCAAATCCCCACTAAGATCAGAGATATTGGTGAGGGTTCCTTCGTTCCCTGGAGGATCCTAAGGGGGCCACACAGACTGTATGAAACCGATGGGCCAAGAAAAGGGAAAAGGTAAGTGGAATTCCTGCATCGATGAGCATGGAAAGAAGAGTAGGTGAAGTCCTATGCTTGTCTAAACTTAAGACATCCCATAACTCCCATAATTTATGGCTGTGTGGGTGGCCTGAATGTAGAACCATGCAGTGCTCTTTTGTCTTCATTCCCTCCCACCGCTGCAAAGCAGCTTTGAAGAACTTCTCCAAGAAGGAGTTCAGGCCTTGGGCTAAAAGAATTTCTGCACCCTTTTAAGGGAGTGATCCTGCGATTTTAGACTTCAGATTCCCAGATCCAATGTTACGGACAAAGCTCCCCTTCTTGCTGCTGGTACAGATAGAAGCACGCTGCCCACCTCGTTGAAATTTAGACATAAAGAACATGACCATAAGAAAAGCCAGGCCAAAGGCCCTTCTAGTCCAGCACGCCGTACAATGGCAAACCAGCCGCCCACAGGATCCCTCCAGCAGGAGGGGTGCAGGACGCTCAGCTGGTGCAGAAAACCACACTGACTGCCTCTCCCAAGTGAGAAACTTGGCCTTCGTGGGGGCAGTGGGCAGGGAAGGGAGGAAATGGCTGAGGCCAGGACAGGGCTGATCCGGAGCCCCTGCCGGCCTCCTTGTCTCCCCTTCGAAGTGGCATTGCTGGATGGTTAAGAACAGGCACCTAAATGTGGAACAGGGGAAGTGGGGAGGCAAAGATTGCTTCCACGGCTCCTTCCATGATGC